ATTGCATGGTATATGGGAGATACAACAGCTGTGTTGAAGGTATCAAAAGCCTGCAATTGAAGACAGAGCTCCCATCATAAGTACTCACCAGTAAATTGAAAAATAGAAAAAATAACACCTCAATTTTAAGTTTTAAGCTTTTACATTCAATTCCCTGTTTTTATTCTTTCTCACACAAGGCAACTTGCCCAATTAAATTTAAACATAAACAGATTGACAAATACAAGCATACATAGTTACATACATTGAGATGCATGCACGTATTTAAATATACATTTCCACTATATATATTTAGATAGAATGCCTAGAAAACACTATGGTCCATATTTGGTTGAATGGAATGGCTTTTTACTTGGTCAAACCATAAAATTAAGGGAAATTAGAGGGAGAGAGTGGCATAGTAAGGAAAGCTGCATTACTCACACGGAAATGAAGACACAAACATTTAATTGTTACTTTACTTGATAGTGACGTAGACCCTTTAGTAATCGTCAATCATATTCATTTACTGCTTATTATAGATAAAAACATGACAGTAGATGGTGATGCTCAGTTCGGACTTACTAGAATAAATCAAAAGTTGAAAAATGAGGTAGAATGCTCTTAAATTTTCAAATCATAGATATCATTACCTTATTTAAATAGTTCATCTGAGTAAGCACACAGGTAAGAACCACCAAGACAAAAACCTAAGTTTGAGGATATGCTAAACTGATTAATTTCCAAAAATGTTAACTTCAAAACAATTCCAAGTGCTTTAACTCTCATGACCTGTTAGAAATGTTAACAATAAATGAGAATGAATGAATACATAGATAAAATAGACATGAAGAATAGCACAGAACATTAATCAGATTGAAGAAGCGGATAACTGACAACAACTAACAACATACTGATGGTGAGCCCATGAGCGAGCAAATGCCAGTATAGACCATCACTTTTTTCTGACCATATTGAGGCACAAATTGGAATATAAGTATAAATACTGCCACTATTACAGTGGCTGCATACAAAAGAAAAGCTACAAGAGACAAAAACACCTCTTCAACATCAACTATAATGGTTAAGTGAAAAAAGAAGAAATCAAAGAAGAGGAATTTGAGGGGGGGAAAAAACTTCCTCTTCAACATCAACTATATGCTATGGCTATAAGCATTCTCTCATGGAAAGTATAGCCGGCTCTGTGGCAAGATCCCATACTTTTTGGACAGAGTTGATTTCATGCTCCTGAGGAGCATGCAGAAAAATGGTCATGGAACCCACAACACATAGCACACAACCAAGAATCCCAAAAATATTTAATTTCTCACACAGTATAATATGTGCTAGAACAGCACTGCAAGAAAATTAAGAAATGAGTATTCAAATATGAATGGAAAAAAATCAAGATGCAACGGTCATTCATGCCATTTACTTGCCTGATAATGATACTAAGTGCCCCCAGAGGAGTGACAAGAATAGCTTGTGCAAATGCATAAGCCGCAAAATTAGCAATCTCCCCAACAATCACTGTCACATGAGAAACTAGCCATTTTAGAGGAATGTATTTATGGTTTCAGCTCTTCATAAATCTTCTAAAGGGTAAATCAAGATAGACAAAAGAATAGTACACCAATTCTTCTGGTAGAAAATGAACAAGAAACAAAAGATTCCAAGAAGATTGAATCATATGATTCACATGAACAAAATTCGGATGATACAGAAGAACAGCTCTGCACTTGTGACACAAATAATGATATGATTATTTTGGCTAACATGTGACAAAATATGGAAAGCCTCAATAATCATTGCAATAATGAATTTAAATTATATTAACAGGGAAAGGGCTACAAATCTTCCTTCTTGGTTCTCCTTTCTTACAATTCTTCGTGCAATAAAATTAAAAAACTCTAATCTTAATTTTATAGATGAGAAAAAGTATACAAGAAAAGTAAAATTTTAAGTAGACAGAATTAGGTAATGTTAGTGTCAAAATATTTGCATATCTGGAATTCTTCATCAAGAGGGTTGCGTATATTTCTCAAGCAAAGAAAAATTTCTCAGATGATCAACTCATGACACTGGAATTTATTGTTGCAGAAAGGAAAAGGTACCATCCAAGGTGTTGATGGAGAAGGAATGCAATTGGAGCTAAAAAAGAGAGGACATTGGAGGGGTTCCTTTGTAACAGTCCGAGAAAATGAGTATATCATTGCCTGCATAAAGAATCTTAGAACAAAAAAACTCACTAGTGATCATGCCAATCCACCAACGTGGCTCAAAGAGGTAAGAATAACCCCCACTACCTGCAACCAAAATTGCAAAAATTAGAACCAAAACCAGGGCAGTTCACGATTACAAGGTCACAACTGTGATATTATGCAATATGAACCAAAGGGAATACAATTCTACTACCCTAACAGGCTAAAGCTAAGAGGGCAAGCTCAGAATGGAACCTTAAAAAAAAAAAAAACGAAAAGGGTAAATGTTTGAACTTGAACGGGACAAATTGCTAAGGCTGTCAAATGTTGCAAAAGCCTGAGTTGATGATTGCATACAAAAACTTGAAAACAAAACAGAGGCTCACAAACATCATCCCAGTACCTCAAAGTAGCAAGTATCATAACCCATCAAAGAAAATCAGAATCCATTGAAAACAGAAATCTTCGGAGCAAAAACATTTACTGCCTGGTCTAACGTATTAAAAGAATCCGTTCTAGCCCGAAAATCAGAAATTAAAATTCAACCCATTTAAAGCTCTAATGCAAATCGAATTAAATTTAAACAAATTCCAGTGCCCAAAAATTCCACAACAAAGCAGAACCCATGAGAGCATGAGAGAAATGATCAAACCCCACTTGATAACAAAAGAAAAAAAAAATTTCAAAGATGTGGAAAGTGGAATACCCACCCAAAGCCCAGAAGCACCAGCCTTCTTCAAGCCTTTTTTCTTAATAATAAAGCTGGCGCCAATGAAGAAGCTGGAAGACAATGCCAATAACAATCCCTTTAATGTTATCCGCCGACATTCCCTTGTAAGAGTCTGCCAAGCTCCCACCTGAACCTGAATGCCCCACCGTCATTGTTTCTCCTCTCTGTTATCCAATCACCGGCGCCGCCAATCCAAACACAAATACCAATACCCAACACCCCAATTGCTTCCAAGACCATGTTACAAACCCCTCAGTCCCCATTCTATCACCATCATCATCATCATCATCATTATCGTCACTTTCCAGGTATCACTGTTGTACTCTCATTGCCTTAAAAAAAAAGAAACTGTTTTACTCTCATTTTCTCTTTCACCAGTTGATTCCGTCTTCATATAGACTGAAAACGCAAAATGCATTCAAAGACGCAGAGAATTTCAGGTTGAATTGTTTGTTTTGATAATAGATTTTAAGATTGGTGAGGTTTTTGGCTTTGGGTGTGAAGAGGATCAAGATTGGGAATCAAAGGAAACTGAAGTACCTCTTTTCTGTTAAAAGGGTGAAATCCAATACCTAATACAATGCTCTTTCGTTGGATTAAATATAACACTAAAGATAAATTTGTATATTATTTAATAATTGATTTTTTTATTTTTTATTTTTAAATTTATAATATTATATATTAATTAATTTAAGGAAACTGAAGTACCTCTTTTCTGTTAAAAGGGTGAAATCCAATACCTAATACAATGCTCTTTCGTTGGATTAAATATAACACTAAAGATAAA